AATTTCTGATATCAGACTTTTTCAATATATAATGGAATATAATAAATACAAATACATGTCACTACTTTTGATGTTATTCTTTGACTATGCAGTACAGTAAACATATTTAAAGGAACAAAACGTGTTTTACATGGTGGTCACCTTGGAATTTAATATGGCTGCTAAATGACCTTGACCTAAAATGGCTGTCATAATGACCTCTGATGAAATAGTTCCTATCAAAAATTGAATTTTGTGCGCTTATGTAAGATTTTGCTGTAAAACACGACCACTTACAAACTATTAAGATTTTCTACGTATTTAACAGAGAAATGGAATTGAATGACTTTAAATGACCATCTGACCATGTCACAAGTGCTATAAATCCTTGACCATGAAAATATATTTTTAAACATAATTCTTATTGGAAGTTGTTTAAAAGCCGATATATTGATAAATATAGGTTTTGCGTGGCAGCCATTTTGAAATTTAAGATGGCTGCCAGAATGACCTCGAATGAAATATTGTAGTTCATAGTAAAAAGTTTGTATTCTGAGAGCCTGGGTATGATTCTAATGTAAAATTTGACAATTACGTAATTTTAAAGATACCATACAATATGTGACCTTGAGTGACCTTACATGACCCATTTGTGGCAATCTGACCAGATCAAAAATGATATGATGGTATTCCTCGATCATATAAACATACTCTTAGACATTAGAATTATAATTCCAAGTGGTTTAGAAGCGGAGATATAGATAAACATAGGTTTTATTAGGCGGCCATTTTGAAATTCAAGATGGCTGCCATAATGACCTCGAATGAGGTGGTTCCTACCAAACATTGAATGCTATGACCATAAGGAGCATGTAAAAAAAAATTGGTGCTTTTGTCCTGATATGTCCAAATATGGCCCTAAGCTGCCGTACTACTAGGCGTACAGCTAGACCTAGGCCTAGGCCTAGCCGAGAATTACGGTACGGTAAACAAAGCAAAATAAGGGTACTAATTTTACTTGGCATGCAAATCAATCATACTTACACACTTAAAAACAAACTAGTCTACCAATAAAATCACCTGCAAGTTAAGATATAAGGCAAGTATGTCTACAAATTTGATTTTAAATTGATGTGATTAGGAGCCTAGACCCGGCCTAGGCCATGTCTAACCGCTTATAAAAATGCATAAAAAAAAACCCAAAACAAATTAGAATGAAGTTATCAACTAACTAGTGCATTAAAATTATTCATATACTGTACTTACTACTTACCTATATAAAATTAAAATGTATTGCTCACAAACGCCAATATTTGGATTTTAATACGCCTTTTCCACGAATCGGTAGACATCTTGAAGTGATGATAAACAGCCTAAGTCAGCGGTGCGAAACAAACAAAAATAAGATAAGCTAGGCCTATCTGCTGTACGCGTACGCCTAGCCGATACGCAGTGTGGCTAAGGAAAGTTTTGTTTACTGAGCATGTGCAGATTGTGTTTATTTGGCTCATTTGCATAACAATACCGCACATAAGGCTAATTCAAGTTAGATGGCTTAAACCAGCCAGCTTCCTATCCTGGTAACAGTTATAAGTCCTTGGTACTATATCAATAAATGAATGGATTTTCTCCGAACAAAGATGACAACAAAGCTTAAGATCGGATCTCTCAGAAAACGATCACATGGGAGCGTTAGGACCAATCACAATGTCCGGATTCTGCTTTTTCAAAACGTCATGCAGAGAACGTTGTTTACAAAGGTCGTAATTCACGCGGTGCCGAAGGAGCGTTGTATACTAACCATAGAGGTATAATAAGAATACTAGAGCGCTAACAGCAATGCATTCGATGTTCGAAATACGCAGAATTACTGTGTGTGTGTACCATCCAAGATGGCTGCCATTTATTCAGCCAATCAAATTATGCCTTAAGCCCCTCTCCCACCTAGGTTGATTTCATCCAGGAGTCGCACGAGTTAAAAACTCGTGAAACTCGTGATCTCCATATGGGTTTACTACGTGTTAGCTACGAATGATGTACGACCTTACGGAGTTGGGTACGAGTTATGTAAGAATTATGCCGAGCGAAACACCGAGTTCACTAGGAGCTTACGAGATTATTATGAGCGTTAGGAGTTGTACCGAATTAGATATTAGGTAAGGGCATTCCAAGCTATTAGAATTGACGTTCTGTTTTGCAAATTCGCATACAACATGGAAGCCAACAGAAATATTTTGGTGCTCCTAGAAGAAGAGCTACTTATAAATGCTGCCATTGCGGCTGTTTTAGTTGCTAGGAGCCAACGTAGGGGAAGGATGAAGAAAAGAAAAAGGCGTTTTTGGACTAGACCCTGGTTAATGCGCAGGTCTTTGCATGGAAAATACGAAGCTTTAATGTCGGAAATGGCAATGGAGGACCACACTGGATTTAGGAACTTTCAGCGAATTGATCCTGAACTTTTTCAGGAAATGTTGGTTCGTGTTAGTCCAAGGATCCGAAAGCAGGATACCAGAATGAGAAGGGCACTTGATCCGGGATTGCGACTGGCCATCACCCTGCGATACCTTGCCACTGGGGACTCTTACAAGAGTCTGGAATACGGATTCCGGGTGGCAACTAACTCGATATCTAAACTGGTGCCGGAAACATGCGAGGCTATTATCGCTGAGTACGTGGGGGAGTACATGAAGTGCCCAAGTACTCCAGAAGAATGGAAACTGGTTAGCCAGGCCTATTCCAAACGATCTAGATGTGTATAAGAGACAGCCATATCGCCATCAAATGTCCTCGAAATGGCGGTTCCATGTATTACAATTATAAGGGATTCCATTCCATTATATTAATGGCATTAGTTGACGCAGACTCGAGGTTTCTTTATGTAGACATTGGCGCCAAGGGCCGGTGTTCAGATGGCGGAGTTTTCCAAGACTGTACTTTGCGTGATGCATTGGAGAAGGGCAAATTGGGGCTACCAGAGCCAGCACCGCTACCAAACGATGATCAGCCTGTGCCGTACAGCATAGTAGCCGATGACGCATTCCCAATGCGTTCCTGGCTGATGAAGCCGTACCCACATCGACAGATGACTAGGCAACAGCGAATATTTAATTATAGATTGTCCCGTGCTCGCCGGGTTGTAGAGAACGCCTTTGGCATTTTGGCACACAGGTAAAAATGTAATTATTTTTAAAATACAATATAGGCAATGACAGGCCTATATTTAATAAGGCCTATTAGTCAACTATAGAATTATAATAACCCAGTAACACAATGCATTTGTATATTTTAAAACTCTATGACATTTCATTTATTTACCAGTTGTCCTGGGGCAGATGTAGGAGGGGAAGGGGTGCAGACGGTACAATCACAGCCTCTATATTGTATTAAGAAAAATAATGGTTGTGTTGTATTGTATTGTTGATATGAATTACCGGTAAGATTTTTAAGGTACAAGAGTGTAATTTCCGGGCACCTTGAGGTCCATATTCTCACAATTTTCACACCCCATGTTGGGGCTGAGGTGGTATGCATTCTCACGCACACCCTACCGTCAAATTTTGCATCTGCCCCAGTTGTCCACATAATGTATGCC